GCGCGTGGAGGCTGAGGGCGTGGATGCTGAGGGCGTGGATGCACAGGCATGCGCACGCACACACCCACCCACGCACACACCCACCCACACACGTGCACACACACAGACCATTCTTGAGCCAAGTCCTTCTCAACTAATTGACTGCCCACCCATTAAACCTCTCCCTCCCATCTTCATGGCCAAAAGAAAAAAGAATGGGTCAAAGATAAGTAGAATAGAGGACCGAGCACACCTGATCTCGGGACACTTTAGTCAGGGACATCCAACCATGGAACCCGTGGTGCACGGGACAGGCAACCTTGGGATAAAGGCTCGGACCTCCCTCCCCAGCTAGAGGCCCAGTCAAGGCTGGCGCAGGGTCCTCCCACAGAGTGGGGAACTCCAAGCTTGCTCAGCAGTCAGGGTGCTGAGGCTGCACCAATCACCCTCTTTGAGAGACAAGATTCTGCTCAGCCCCTCCCACCCTCTTCTCCTCACCCTCCTAACCTCTCTTGTGACCTGGGTCACTCCCAGACAGCCTATAAAAGTCCAGTGATGGAGCTCCCAGCCCCTGTCCTAACCCAGCATCCCCAGAGCAATCCCTGCTCCAGCCAGATCCTCAGAGTGGCATCAGAGCCTGTCTGCACAGGGATCTCCCGGAAGTCAGCTCTGCCAGGCGGACCTGAGCTGAGCTCCCACCGGGAGCCTCATCTCCATCGGAACACCGGCTGGTGCTGCTCAGGCAGGCGGATGCTCCCTCCAGGGGCTGTGACCCAAACCCATCGACCCACAAGCCTCTGGCCGCTGACAACACTCGAGCTTTGCACACTCTGCAAAGGACTTCCACGTAGCTCTGAGGCCTACAGCCTCTGCACATGTGTCCCCAGATGCAGGGGGACAAGAGGTTCTAGCCAGGCAAGTCAGCAGGGAAAGGTCATGGCTCCTGATAGAGGCAGCCTTCTAAACCCCCAACATACTCTCCACTCCTTGAATGGCCCAAGAGAAAGGAACTGAGGAGAAGCCTGGAACCTGACAGATGCTGGAATAAGAATAATGCTAACATTTACTCAGCACGTACTATGTAACAGGAAGCCACCAATTTCTTCATAGCACTGATGTTTGCAGAAAACCCTGTAAGCTCATACCTTTGGCCCATCTTCCACTGAGACAAGTGACATTTGGAGAGTGAGACACCTGTCCAAGGTCAGAGGGTCAGCAACCAATAAAGTCAGGGTTCACATCCAAATCACTTAACTCTAGACCTCGTTCCTTAGCCATTACACACAGAGCCACGTAGGCCAAAAGGACCTCAGGTTCAGTAAGGTCACCCCCTGCTTTCAGATAGAGGTGCAAGTCAAGCCATCCCAGACAGAAGGACCTCTCTGCACCCTAAAAGAAGCTACAACCTTGATGCCCGCAAGCTCCAGTGTTGAGACGTCTTCTGTGTGCTGCTGCAGTATAAGCCCGTTTCCCTTTATTCTGTGCTTAAACTTGTAACAAAGTCCACTCCCCTGCGCTGACTGGGGCTTGGAGGCTATTCTGGAGCCTTCCTCGAGGGCCTCCTTTCCATTCTAAGACCCGGGCACATTGTCCTGTGCTACCACCAACAGTCCCATAGCAGGAACATACCAAGAACTGGAGGGGTGGAGGATGAGAGCTTTGGAAGACAGCAAGAAACGGGGGAGAGGGTGCAGTAGGTGGCTATGGCCAGATTCCCCACCAACTGACCTGCACCCATCCCCATTCCATAAGCTTCTGTGGTCACCATGGCCTCAGCTCTCCCACCTGACCAATAGTTCTAAACCAGCCAGATCAACATACCACTTATCAAAATCACCTCCCCTCTGCCCTCCCTGGTTTGTTTTCAGAATCCCTCCCCACTCCAAGTAGCATAGGAAACTAATGTATGGCATCCCAGAAACTTTCTCGCATCACTCTCCCCCTACACACCCACACACAGGGTACCCAGGAGACCCTGTAACGGTCGCCTCCTGCCCTACGGCGGCTGAGCGTGGGTGCTCGGGCTGGTGGGTCCCCTCAGACTTCCACCCACGGATTGCTCTCTCGCGCCGCCATCTCCTCCAGCTTTTGTGAACTTGCCCGCAGCCGGCCGTGCGTGCGCGCAGAAGACGGTGAGCTCAGAGTCCTGGCAGCCTCCAGGCTCCGCTCCTGCTTCCATACAAGGTCCGGGAGTCTGGGTGCCACCCAGAGGCTTGTAGGTCGTTTTGCCCGTCTCCTGAGCAAAAGCCCGCGCGCTCACGCACTCATCTTCCAACTCGCCGGCTTCCCTCTAGCCTCTTCCCCAACACAGACCCGAAAGGAGGAAAGAGAAAAATCTCCCCTCTGCTCCGAGATGCAGCAGTGAGGACCCCCTCCCCCGCCACCCTCGCCCCAGCCAGCTCTGCCTTACAGCCTGGGAGGGCGACATCGGGTCGGGCAGCTCCCGGGAACTTTCGCCTGGCCCCAGCTCAGGTATGGCTAAGATAGCGGCGGGCTCCTGCCAAGGGGACACTCCTTAAAGCCAGCGGAGGAGTCCCCGGGCTTGGGCTGCTCTTCCCTTCCCTCAGGGCACCAGGCGACCCCCACACCGATGAGGGGATCCGACCTCCAGGTGCCAAGATGTGTAGGAAGGAGAGGGGCGAGCAGGAGCTGAGGAAGCCCTCAGGGCGTAGAGCCCCGTCCCTCGATCGCGGGTGCGGTGAGTCCCAAGGCTCTGGGTCGCGCCTTCCGGCAAGGGCTGCTCCGCGGAGCAGCGGCGCTGCGCGGGGCTCGAGCGTGCTGCAGCCTGATCGAAGACCTGCAAACTCACCCAGCAGCCAGAGTTAGGACTGCTGCCGACTCCCCAAAGCTCGAGGAAGCGGCTGCTTGGGCAAGAGACAAGGGGTTCGGCACGCTGGTGTGAACCACAGGGCCCAAGGTGCGCGAAGTCGACCTCGATTCCCCGGCGTCTTTCCCCGAGTGCCCGGCAACCCGTGGGATTCGGCCCCTTCCCGTCGGGCTCTACGCCAGCCCGCGGCCCGGGGCCCTCCCCAGCACAGCCCTGGGGCACGCCTGACCCGAGCCGAGCCCGAGGCGCGGCGCTCGGCGGGGACAGAGAGCCAGAGCCGGGAGCGAGGAGCTGAGAGCGCCGAGGAGCTGAGAGCGCCGGGAGGGGCAGAGGAGGGACGCTGCACTTCAACTCACCTTGAGCCGCAAGACCTCGGGTGCTGATCACACTTGCTATCAAAGTGGCCACATACCAAATCATAGTACTACCGCGCGCCAGCCAAGAGCCTCATCCTATCGCAAAGTGCTCCCGCGCCCGCACACTTCTCGTGCCCGAGCGCCCGCCTCACGCACGCCTCTCGCCCGCCTACGCCCCGCGCCGGTGCTCCTGCAGCCCGGGCGGCCAGCTCTCCATCCCTCCTAGGCTCCGCTCGGCTCGGCGCGCAGCCTCCCCGGCCCCGGCGCAGCGGCACCTGCACTACTAGCCGAAGCTGAGCGCAGCCAGGTCCACGGTGAAGCCTAGCCGGGCCGGGCCTCCGGGGCCGCCCCCGCCGCCTGCCTATTGGGTGCTGCCCACAAGCCTGGCAGCCCATTGGCTCAGATGTCTGCCCGTCGCGGCGCGAAGGAGGCGAGCCCATTTCAAGGTGCGTTGAAGTGTGGCGAGCACAGAGCCGCAGAATCATGCGCATTGCCTGGGAGAAGGCGTTGTAGCGTCTTTGCTCTGTTCTGTTCTCTGCTCACACTGCATGGCAAGTTGCTGGTGAAGGAGATGGTAGCTCCTTGGGCTGGCAAGCGGGACCTCGGGTGTCTCGATTACCCCTGACAAGTCTGAGGGCATCGAGCCCCCGCCCACCCAGGGAACCCAACATCCGGTTTCCATCCAGCAAAAAGCAGTTCCCAGGAGGACCATGCCGATTCAGGGATGGGGAAACCCAGAGCGGGCATCCTGGGAGAGACAGGGAACGTCCTTCGCTGGAGATCTTTTCAAAGAGGTCACGCGCTGCTTCCCCCACCCCCATTCCCGTGCACACATAGACGTTCTTCCCCCCAGAGCAGCACCCTACCCCCACCAAGCGTGATGTTAACTTAGGCTCCTTCCAGCCTGAAGGCAGGGGGATGACTAAAATGACCTCTAAAAGTCGCTAAGATTTAGGATGAGTCATTGGCTCAGCTGTGGAGTGTCACAGACCCCTCTGGGACACTCATACACACATACTCACTGCCACCCCCGAAGCCGATCATCGTTGCTCATCATTATTAAATCCCAACTTTGAGTAATAAAAGTTTTTTTTTTCCTTTTCTCCCACAAAAGGCTGCTTCCTCATGCACCTGACTCCTCCCGTCCACCTTACTCAGAGCCTCGCCCCATCTCAGTAGCAGAAAGCCAGGACGGATTTGGGGAGCAGTTTAGGGGTTTGGGATGGAGGAGACTCCAAGAAAGAAATGCTGCTTAAGGGCACAGAGGAAGACAGCTATGGAAATGGGAAGGTCTTGGTGTTTCCCTATCTCTTTTCCTCGTCCCTTCCCCCAATATAGTTGTATTTGCAGAGAAATAAATGAGTGTCATGGAAACCTCTACTACAAACAATCACCTCACCCCAGCGGCTGAGGCTGCAGCGAAGATGTTTGTTCTTTCAAGGAGTGAAGGGAGAGAACCGCACAGCCCCAAGGATGGGCTGTTGGCCAAGGAAGGGAGGCAAGGGGCAGTAAAGGAGAGCTCAGGAACGCCATCCTCCCTGAGCACCCATTAGCCACAATGCCGGGCTCTAGGACAGGAAGCTCCCAAAAGAACAGGGAGACTTGCTTCTGGAAAAGCATGCACATGCATACACACGCGCGCGCACATGCATACCATGCCGTAAACACTGGAGGGACTGACTTCCCTGAAGTCTGAACACCCATTGCTCTCTGCCACCTAGGAGGAAGAAAGCTGGGACCCCAGTAGAGTAGCAAACATGTGGGCGAAGTTTTAGCATCTGGCTATACTCTGGAGAACCAGAACTCTTGAATTACCTCCCACATGGCTGGTTTGGGTCCCAGACCTGGCAGCTTGCTTTCTCACTTTCCCTTTCTCTCTGGTCAAATTAAATGATAATAATAATAAATAAATAATTCCTTTTTTAAGAGAGATAGGGCAATAGGGCATGTGCACTTGCTGGAAACACAGAGAAAGTGAGAAGTCATGCCCCAGAGGGGACTGACCGTGCCACAATCCCTTCTCCAGTCTCTTCTCAGGATTTTGGGCTTGTATATATGCCCAGCATGAGTTTTAAGTCTCTGGGTCTGGGACTTGAACTGCAGTCGGCCGTGTGGGAGTCCAGTGCCTTAGCCACTATACCACCTACTGGCCCCAAAATAAATAAATAATTTCCAAAAAAAAGATTCCTCTCCTTTCAAAATCCCTGGAGAACTGACCATGGCCTGGAGAGAAATGCTTACAGGCCTGGCTTCCCCTATCCCTCTCCATTTTTCCGTAGGAAGAAGGCAGGGGAGTGGGAAGCTTCAGGGCACAGGACTCCTGGTGGCCTGCGGGGTAAGGAAAGATGGAGCCGCACTCACCCACCAACTGGATTCCATTTGCTTAGCCACATGGTTCTACTTGACCCATCTCCCTTGGCCCACCTTCAGGGTAGTTTTTTCTGTGAGGGAATTAAAGCTATCTGTCAGCATGAAGGGAAATACACACTGGGCCAGCCGTGGCCTGGTAGTTAAGGAAGCCTGAGCCCATATGGTCAACGGAGGTTTAAATCCCAGCCCCAGTAGCTTGAAAAACAGGCCAGGCATGTGCACCAAATCCTTCCAGGATGTATTAGGTCATTGAGAAAGTCATGACGTATTTTACCGTTTTTCTATGCAAAAATGCATCATGACTTTCTCGACAACCTACTAGAAATTAAGAAAAAGGGATTGCAGTGTGACCATGTCCTTTGGAGGGGGACGGGAACTTTCTCCCTTTCTCCCTCTCTGGTGAACACATGTGCCCTCTGACAAATATTTTTAAAAAGTGATAAAACACAAAAATTGCTTAAGAGCATGAGTTGGGCTGGGAAGGAGTTCAAGAGAACGGCCTACAGAGGAGAATGCATTTCTTCTGGAGAGGCCTACTGGAAGTGGACTGGTACAAGGGGGTGAAGGCAGAGAGGAAAGGGAAGGGCAGACAGGGATGGGAGAGTTCACAGCACCATCATCACCATCGCCAAACGTGACTCAGGTGGTTTCAGACCAGCTCAAGAGAGGCACGCTCTATTGGGTCATAGTGAGAGGCAGACCCGTCACCTTTTCCTCCTGGCATAGGGCTGAGCTCTGGGCCCAGGAAGGAAGGCAGCCCCTCTCTGGCATGCTCACATCTGGTTAGTATTTAAGGGGAGCATAGACCCCGGCAGTCCAAGGGGGACATGAAAGAGGAATATGAGCCACTCCCATGAGCCACCCCTAGGTATGTCTGACAACCATCAGTGTCACCAATAAATGCAATGAGCTACGGGGGAACACTGTGTACCAGGCATGGTGCACGGGTCATCTTTTCTTCCCCTCAGGAACCTGGACTTTCTGGAAACACAAAATGGGAGTCCCATCACCTACTCCATAAAAACCACACCTAGCCACCTGCTCAGAGGCCATTGGAGGACAAGTGAGCAAGGTGGCCAACAGGAGCTTCAAGTCTAAAAGAGGAGACTACCCCACTTTCTTCTCATGTCCACTGAGCAAAAGTACTCAGCAATAGTTCACTCACCTGTCACTTCCCACCTTCCTTAGTGGACTTTAGGGTAGGACAGTTGCCAGTAGAGCTGCTTCTGAAGAAAGTCAGCTCTAAGCAAAAGCAATTACCTAAAACAAAACACCAAAAAGCATGTTTAGTGTTTATATAATTAGGAAATTGTACCCTGTAATCATCTTATCATGTAAAAACCCATTCTAAAATGTAGTAGCTCAAAACAACAAGTCAGGAGGCTCTCAGGTGGCATGAGGTTAAGGAACTGAACTCCCACATGGTTGACTGTGGTTCAAGTCCCGGACCTGGCAGCTTGTTTTCTTGCTCTCCCTCTCTCTCTCTCTCTTTCTCTCTCCCTCTCTCTAGTGAGCACATATGACCCATAGCAAATTTTAAAATAATAACAATAATAATCATAAATTAAATAAATATTTAAAGAAAAAAGACATTTATTTATTCCCATACCTACAATTTGGACAGAGCTTGGTAGAACAGCTCTTCTCTGTTCCACGTGACACCGGCCTCAATGGGTCATGGAAGCTCTATTTTCAAGATGGCTCCCTCGCAAAGCACATATGACCAATAGCAAATTTTAAAATAATAACAATAATAATCATAAATTAAATAAATATTTAAAGAAAAAAGACATTTATTTATTCCCATACCTACAATTTGGACAGAGCTTGGTAGAACAGCTCTTCTCTGTTCCACGTGACACCGGCCTCAATGGGTCATGGAAGCTCTATTTTCAAGATGGCTCCCTCGCAAGGCTAGCAACTCGATGCTGGTGGTCAGCCAGGGCTGTTAGCAAAGGGCTATTGTTCTTTCTCATGGGACATCGCCACAGGCTACCTGGGCCTCCTCACAGCATGGTGGCTGAGTTTCAGAACATAGCATCCCAATACAGGGAGATGGAAGACACGTCACCTTTATAGCCTCGCCTTGGAAGACACATGGTGTTACCTCAGCCAGAGTTCAAAACCTGTCTCAATTTTAAGGGGAGGGAGCATATTGATAGATTATTCCCCTCCAATCCTGTTCAATAAACCAGTGTCCAGGTCACATGCAAGCAGAGTTTGTGGGGTGGGAGGCAGTGGTGCAGCCATTTTGGGATAATAGAATTTGCAGCCAAAGCAGTCTTTAAAATTAAAGCAAAAAGGAATGCTAGAAGAAATCTCTGAAGGAAAGGTACATTATACAGAGTTCTCCAGAGAAACAGAATCAATAGAATATATATAAAGAGAGAGCAATATAGGTATTTAGGAGAGAAATTATTATGAGAATTGGCTCACGCAATTATGGAGACTGAAAAGTCCAAGGATACGCCGTCTGAAAGCTCAAGAACCAGATCAGCTGGTGGTGTAATTCAGTCTGAATCTTCAGGCCTGAGCACCTAGGAGGCCACCTGTTAAGTCCTGGAGTTTGAACATCTGAGAACCTGGAGTTATGGCTTCCTAGGGGCAGGAGAAGATAGATGTCCCACCTCCAGAAGAGAAAATAAATTTGCCCCTCCTCTGCCTTTTTGTCCTGTCCAGGTCCTCGGTGGATTGGATGACATTGGTTCTGTTTGTCAGTCTTCTGATTCAAATGCTAATTTCTTCCAAAAACAAAATAATGCTTTACTAACATTCAAGCATTCCTTAGCCCAGTCAAGTCCACACGTAAAATTAACCAGACCTGCAGTACCTGGATCTTCAGATATT